TGGAAGAAAAAAATAAGTCGTGGGACCCACGATAGAAGTGAAACTTCAAGTATCAAATATTGAAGTCATTTTATACGGAAAATTATATGAGAAGCAATCATTTGTGTTATTGCTACGAGTTAAGATAGACCTACAATTTCATAAAGATAGACCGCAAATACAAATTTGAGGTTATGTCATCATAACAAATGGCACCTTAATTTGTGCGTCTCAATATTTTATTTTCCCTTTAGAATACCCGTAAAAAATCGGTATTTTTGGCCTATTTAGCTTCTCCGTCGAGATATGACGATTTTTCTTATTTTATGAGGTTATATTGTTCTAAAAACACTTTAAATTAACTTGTGAACATCTCCATAAATTTTCAAGGTATACTATAATTTTTTCGCAATTTATAACTCATATGTCAGAAAAGTACAACTAAAATACGAATTTGAGGTTAGTTAATAACAAATTATACCTCATTACACACACACACACACACACACACACACAGAGTCACACACACACAGTCATATATATATATATATAATTAAAAATTTGAGCATGTAGTAGCAAGGGGAGCAAGGCAGAGAGAAAGGCCGTCACACGTCCCACTTTACACGTATATGCACTGCTCTGGTGGCAAGGGGGACGAGGCAGAGAGAGAAAGAGAGCAGCTGGAGTTGGAGTAGTAGGGATGCCTGTTAGTATAGCATGTGGTGGCAAGGGGGACGTGGCAGAGAGAGAGAGAGAGGCTAGAGTGGTAGGGATGCACTGCTAGTATAGCATGTGGTGGCAAGGGGGACGCGGAGAAAGAGCAGCAGGAGTGGTGGGGGGCTCAGAAATTTCGTGCTCGAAAAAATTCACAACGTGCCATAAGAAATTTCACTTAAAAAATAAATATTTTAGCTAAAAAATCGTTTTTCGTAAGTTGTTAAAGCTACCACTTGCGATTGTTAGCTACAGCTATTTTCAGCTCATGTACAGTTTGCGGATACAATAGCTTATCGATGTTCTATAGACTGAGCTACAAGAAATCTGTAGGATTATCCCTCATATTGCAAGGGGTGCTGGATCACTAAAATATGAGGGGGGCGGAGGGCTATCAAAAATGAGCGTGGTGGCTGTAGGGGTTTAGGGGGCTGACAAGAAAATAAGAGAGACTTATAATGGGTTAAAATAATAGTAAAGTTAACGCAACTTCCCTTCATTTAGTGGTGGTTACGGAGGGGCTGCGGGGGGGGCAATAAGGGCTCAGTGGGTCTTCGGCTATTATTTTTGTGGGTTAAGATGTCATTGAAGAATCTTTTACGTCTATTTTTTATCACTTAAATAATATGACAAAGATCACATTATAAAATAGTTTATTTATTTTTAAGATATTTTTCAGTATTACAAAATTCCTTTATGTTTTGACGACTACATGTTTTTTGTCCTAAATCTTCTTAGAAAAAAGTTAATGAAAGCACTATAGGATTGATCAATTAAGATAGTTTGTACATAGTTCTAAAAAAATCTTTCTTTATTACACAGTTAAAAGTATAGGGCATTTCACGTACAATATTTTATCAAAATGTGAAAATTTTTACATTTAATAGAGTTTTAATGTACATCATATATATTTTTGTAATTTTTACGTATTCATATAATAGTAAGAATTATTTTGAAAAGGTAAAGCACTACAAACTCCTTACTTAGGAACAGCGTAAAAACTCTTGTGCAAACCAATTAACATGTTTTATGCATATTATGTCAAAGAAAAGAAAATTTCTCAACATTGTTTAAAACAATAATGCTGATTTATTTACCTTATGGGTGGTGTTAAAATAACAAATATTGAATGGTTATTAAAATTTTTTCTCAAAATTTAAGAATACGTTTAGACTGAAGAAGTATATGTTTGCAAAAGTATCCATGAAAAAAAGAGGAGTTGATGTACATAAGCAAGCAGCTGAATTAAAAAACATTTGTAGAGAATGTTATTTTATAAAACTGTGCAACAAACTAATTATTATTTGTTCAAATTTAGATAAACATTTTTTTTTTTAAATGAAATCTTAAAGACAACCATAGTCAATTATAAAAAATTGAAAATTTTTTAAGGAGAGTTAGGTTAATATAAAGTAATAATGTTTGACATAAAGAAATTCGGAGAAAAAAATCAAAATAACGTTTGAATAAGATGTTTGTTATGCATAAGTTATAATAATTAGGATTAGACTAATTTGATAATAGTCAGTATAGTAAAGTATAGATAGCAAAAAAATAAAAAGACGGTCTCTGAAAAAGTTTTCGATTTTACTTTATGATCTGTTGGTGGTGGTTAGCTTGCGAAGCGCACAGAAGGATCAAGCCCCATCAGTGTATATATATGTAATTCTACCGTAACTGGCTCAGATCTACTTGAAAAATTGTTTAAAAAAAAGTTAGTCGAAAAAAATTTTTCATGGTACTTTTACTGTACAAAACATCAGGAAAAAATATCTAAAGCGATGTAACTACAAAATTTCCTGGTCAAAAGTTATACGATATTTTATAAAAGTCAGTTTTCATCGGTTTTTCAAAATTGTATCTCTTTCTAACACATGTAGCTTAACTCTTATAACCGTTGAATTGTTTTTGCTGGGCTTAAATAAAAGCTAGGATCAAGACCTATGAATAAGAAAAAAGTTTTGTTCGATTTAGTGCCTTCATTCACAAGTTACAGCTATTTTAATTAAAGCGTCAATATCTCTAGTAATGTGACTTTAGTCAAAATTCACTATTTCTCATAAAATCGCTAACTTTTCGTTGGGGCATGAAATTTAAACCGAGGTAAAGCCACTCAACAGAGTGCACTACGTCACTACCAACGTTGAAAGCAGCCTCACCGTTTTTGTATTCATGCAGCGAAAAAAAAGCCAATTGGACGAAACCTTGAGACAGTTGTCTCGTCTTTCAGGCCAACAGAAAAATAAAAAGCGATTGTCTAAAATTAATTGCTCAAAAACAAAAAAAACTATTCTTTGAGATGAGGTAGAGTCGGGATGGAAAAGTTTGGAATGGAATTTTCAAAGTTTGTAGTGCTCGTACGACTTATAGACATATTACAATGACTTGTTCACCCATACTTCATTTACTAGCCTTAAATAAAAAAAGAGACTATAGGTTTTTTACCTACATACGCACACCGAGTAGTTGTTTCATGGGGGTAAGGACAGAAATAAATTTTCGTATGCATGAAATACGCAAAAAGAAGAGCTTGGCTATGCGAGAGATAACAAATTCTAGCACTACAATCGTAAAAACTTTTTTATTTTAGTATTTAACTTTTAAAAATAACTATTTATTAGCATTTCCAATCCGCAAAGTTACTCGTTTGAACTGATTTTGTTAAGACTGCCATTATGGTGCCAATACGTGGATAAAATGTATGCAGTAAAAACTCACTCGTCTTTGTCAATTTTTAGTGTGACTAAGGTACAAATCATATTCCCAATAGCAAAAGTATATAATTCTTGTATGCTCAAGTGAAAGTTTAGCGTTATTTTTTACTGGTGGAAGCTTTTATGAGTGAAATTGAGTTGCGGACATGGATTATTAATTTCCAGAGTAACATAAATAGCTACTACTATACAGATAGCACGTATAAGTTTTCATCACTACTCCTGTTGGCTCTGCTGTGTCTCTGCAGCCTAGTTTGTTATCATCTAGCGTCCTAAGTTATGTCCCTTGGTATACATGTTGCGTTTGTGAGAGCGTCTTAGGCATGAAGGCCATATTTACATTGTTACAATCTTCAACCTTTGCGATCAATTAATCAACATCAGCCTGAGGCTGAAGTATTTTATTTAACTTGTTTGTGTCAATTAATCCTAAAGAACTTGCGTCATTCTTGGCAGAAAGTTTTTAAAGATTTTTTTAAGCAAGCTCTCTATGTGTATTTTGACATTGTCCAAGGCACTTACTACAATACAACTGCAATACCCCTTACACATAATATAAGTAGCTATTATTACTTTATATCTGACATAAATGTAGAACTTTTATCAGGATTTCGTATGACAATTGAACATCTTTCCGGATTGGAAATTTGATTCAGTTGTAGGTCAAGCCTTGATAGCTGCGCTGGAGCCAACATTTGCTCAAGTCGAGCTCTGTAATGGAGCACTGGTCAAGGTGTAAATTGGCTCTGGCGTGGCTGGAATTGGCTTCACCAGTGCAAAGCCATGGCTGGATTTCATCTGTACTATGATAAGTTCATAAATTATATATGTTATGGTACAAGTAAAAATTAGTGTAACTTAAGGTAATTTTTTTAAGTGTTAATCTAAATTTTATTTATTTTTCATTAAATATTATTTAGTTTGTAATTATAAGATTCAAAATAATATGATGGTAAAATATCATAAGAATAAAGTAAAATTTAAGGAGTTTAAAACTTTTTGTATTTTTGAGTGATTATTCGTAAAATAGAATGGCTAATAAGATCGAAAAAGCTAGATGTAGCTGTGTAAGAACATTATAATCAAGCCATAGAATAAAAAAAACTTCCTTAACTGTCATCATGATAAGTTCTTAACCATAGCTCTGTCAGAGGTCCATTACCTTGAAACAACTATCCCACATCTAAAAAATTTTTAATTACAAGCATTGGTCGATAAAGTTTATTTATTGGTTGTGTCACTATGACAAAAAAGTTTCAATATTTTTATAGATAATTAATGATTTGGATTTCTCTAGCAAATAAATTATCTAAAGCATAACATTAAAGGTAAGGAAAGAATAAATTTGTAAAAAAGTTTTGAAACAGAATTACAACTTTTGTTAACACATCGAATGCTTTTTAATTTAAATGTCAAATACAACTTCTGCTAAGTTTTATTTGATGAACGACTCCCCTTTATTTATTGAAAAGGGATTATATAAAATACACAATTCTAAAATGTTACTAGCATTTTTATGATTTTTATTCAACAAATTTGTAAAAACAAAAACATCACATTATCTACGATACGAAAAAACAGCTATTAACTCACCTTCTTTTCCAGTATAGTAATGCCTTGATATTTAAATGGTTTGCTGAATTCAATGAATTCAGCTCTTTCAGGATTCATCGTTAATGGAGCAACTATTAAATCTGCCCGTTCATTTACTATTTCACTAATGAGACCAGTCCATTCTTTTTTTCCAGTATCTGTAAAAAGACATTATTAGATTTGGAACAAAGGTTTTTTTAAACTACTTTATGCTTTTTCACACGGTTAAAACTAAGATATTTACGTACATTATAGCCATCAAAATAAATTAACCTTCTTAATACTATATGTCACTCAGGAATGAAACATTTTTCGAGAAAAAAATTCGAGTTACAATCCTCCTTTTTTTCTGTAATCTCAAATCTTGTTTACTCTAAAGAGAATTTGTAACTGGCCGACTCAAAATCATTTTAGATTTGTGAGGTAAAAAATAAGTCTTTTTATACAATAACAAGGGGCTTCTACTTGAGATCAAATGTGATACTTTTGACAGAAGAGGAGAGGGTGAAGCATGATAAAAGTTAGTTTCAAACATCGTAAGCAATGACAAAGTAACAAAATAAAACGGTAAGATCTTCACAGCGAGTACCAGGTGTTAGTCACCCTAGCTGATGGCTGTAGGGTATCACATACAAAAAGTGGGGGGTGTCTTCTAAAAAAAAATATACGAAAAATTTCAGGGCATGATAAAATCATAAATAACGCGTCGAGTCGATTACCAAGTAAATGATTCAGCAGTATTAAAATTTTGGAAAGATCAGTGTCTCGATCAGATGTTGATGCATAGGAAACCCTTGTGAGCACCTGTAAAAGCACAGGAGATATAGCATACAATAAGTCATTGGGTTGACAGCTGAGACGGCAAAACTACGTGAGTGATAACCCGAATCTTATTTTTAAATCCCATGCCTCAGCCATAATCTCTCTGACCAGGACCTGAGAAAATGGAGCCAAATCCAGAGAGTATAATGTTGCCCAAGTGTCTAACAATATAATCTGAGTTGAATATGTCTTAATCTAATAATAATTATCGACTAACCAAGACCAACCAAGGTGAGATTGAGTTGGAGAAGCCTAAGCAAATCATTAATTTATAATTTTTGGAAGCAAAGTAATACTTCTTATTCATCTCTAAAAAGCCGTGGAAAGTATAGTATAAGAAGTATAAGAAAAGTATAAAACCTCATTGATGTATATAAAGGAAGACAGAAATTTTTGACAGGTCCCTAATTTAGTAGTATCTTTTCTGATTAGTGCAAGTGTACTTTTTTTTTTGCTGTTACGTTAGTTTTATTTTCTTTTATACAAGACCTTGACATAACAACCGGTACCATGTCATGTACCTCTATCACATCCCGGGTGGGGTTTTCGCTAGTTTCTCCATACCAGGCGCTTCCCCGGGTGGCGGATAGGGGCATCCTCTTAAAATGTGAGGTGACGATGGGCAACTGGGGTGGCTCTCTGTGGTGGTGGTCGGAGGTGTGGATCGGGGGGAGTGTGTGGCGTTGGCGTGTGTATCTGCAGCGATTTGGACGGGGGACTAGTGCCCCATGCCTCCATCAGTGTGGATGCATGGGCCGGCTCTGCTTGTGCTCCTTGTTCTTCGCTTTTTGCTGCTTCCGTAGGTGGCACTCCATTGCTTGATGCGGGCCAACAAAAACTAGCACCCGTCATGTATAGAAGTAAGCGGTGGTTAAGACATTCTTCTCGTATACATGCATCACACACTCTCACTAAACAAACACAGGGACACTTACGGATTGTTCTGGGTTGTGTGTGGCGGGTCCTTTTCCGGGATTGCGTTGGAAGCCTGGCGGTGGGTAAAGCCAGATGATGAGGCCCAGGTAAGTCTGGGTAACCACATCTGATATGGCTGTACGCCTCATAAACAAAAAAGACGTGGTGGGCCGACTAATCTAGGCTTACTACCACTGAGGAGGCTATATGGCGGCACCTTAGTGCCTTATGCCAGCCCGTTTTGTTGGGTTGTCTGCACGGTCTTGGGACTGTACACCTAACGCTCGTCTCTCTGGGATGGCCGTTGTATACCAACAAATACAAGTGTGGCCCGAGCAAGTAGCAGTTTTCTCTGGTAACGGAGAGGACTGCTGTCCTGGTTTTAACCCTTTCCGAATACTTATTTCTAGAAAAAAGGGTTAGTGCTGGCCTTCGCGGGTCAGTACGATATTAAAAGAGATGCCAATATGAAAAACGTCGATGCAAAACAAGTACTCCAGGCAGTACCCTCTCTGAGGAAATCCGTCGGCAGTTCCGATCCGGTAAAAGCCCGGGTGACTGACGCAGGCCCCACGGATTCTGGAGGGAGGCCACAAAGACGTGTCTCATGATCAACGGGGATTGCTAAATGTTCCATGGCCTTTCCTTACAGACAAAGGATGAAGAGGAAGCCTATCGAGTTTAGTCACTAATGACACCAAGGTTAGCAAAGTGTCGGTATTTAGCCACCAGACCCAGAAAGAGCTTGCTTTTTTAGAAGAAAGTGTCACTAGGCTCGAAGAAGAGCGACAGCAAGCTGTTGATAAAGTCCAATCATCAACGAATGACATTACAGAGACGCTACAACTGATTAATGATAAGTACGGCAACACAGCGAACGCTGTTAAAAATGGGCTCAAAGCGGCGCTTAAGCATCTTCAAGAGGCAGAGGTGCTAAGAAAAGGCTGTCTTATCGAAGAAGATTCGTATACCAACGCTTGAAAGTCGTTATTTAAATCTCTGCAGTGGAGGAAAAAGGCGAGATAATTTCCGACAGCATGTACCGAAACGAACCCTGAACACATCCTTAAAGGAAATAGAACGAAGTAAGAGAAACAGGAGCCCATCAAACAGCCCTGAGAAACGCCAGCAGGCTATGTCTTCAAAGAAAAAGTAAACAGGCAGTGGCAAACAAGAAGAAATTCCACTAAATGACAAAACAAGCCGGAAAAAAAGAGAGGACGCCACAACAACAGTAGTAGTAAAGATGGCTGAAGGACAGACCTTTGCGACGGTGCTGAATACTATGAAGGCGAACTTTGACCCCAATAAGGCTAAAGTGGCAGTCCAAAGTGTTGTCACTACAAAAAAAGGTGACATACTTATTAAAGCCAAAGGTGTAGAGAGTGCTACTGCATTCTCACAGCAAATTGAAAAGTCGGTAGCCAGACAGGGTACTGTCAAATTAAGCGACAGAAAAGTGACATTAGAGGTCCAAGACCTGGATGCCATTGTAGAGGAAGATGAGGTCAAAGAGGCCTTTGCTAGGACTTTTGGACATCAGAGCCAGGAGCCAGAAGTCGCTCTCCTAAAGCCAAACGCCAGAGGACAGAGGCTGGCTTTAATAAAGGTGGACGAAGCATCTGCCAGACACGTAGAAAAGGGAGGCAGGTTACGAGTTGGCTTTGTGAGCTGCCGAATTCGAAGAAGAATCGAAGTAACAAGATGTTACAAATGCCTGGGATATGGACACGTCTCGGGCAACTGTGAGAACGAAAACAGATCCAAGCTGTGCTTCCGGTGTTGATGCTCAAACCACCGAAAGAAAAAGTGTCCAGGCCCAGCACGGTGCTTCCTTTGCCCAACAACGGACAACAAGCACGAAGCAGGCAGCGGGAGCGGCCCTTTATTCAGAAGAGCCTTGAAAGAGGCCAGAAACAAGGCCTAAGCAGAATAAGAATAAGGCAAAAAGGCCTTGAGTTGAAAGACAGGCTCATGTGGACCCACGCTGCGCTGGATACTTTTTACCTATGAGCAAGGGAAAGCATTAAGCTTATAGTGGTGCTGGCTAAGTAGGCGGCCTACTATGAAGCGCTAGACAAGGTGCTGGTCCTCAGGGACTCCAAGTCCTTTTCAGGATTCGAGAGCATTAGCACCTCTAGCAAATGGTGGTGAGTTAGCTCGGTAATGCTGTGAGACGCGATGGTCTCCCTGGTGGCTCCACCCTGAAGTAATGCTAACGCGGTTCCGGGGTGGATTAAAAGCCACGTGGCAGGGGGGGATTTTAGTGGGTATGGGTGGTCTAATAAAAAAAATTCACCAAGTCTAACACTACCGCTGTCCCTGCGGTGTGCCTCAATGCATTTCCCCTCCCTCCACAAAAAAAAAAAAAAAAAAACCTCTATCACATACTGTCACACCTTTTTTTTCAGTTGAGTAGTGGCCTGCAACCTTTAAGACCAGGATGAGCCAGCAGAGTTTAAAAAGCTACGAATATCCTGAATCAATAATTTTAAAAGCCGCATGAGGTACACTAAAGCAGCAAAGTCAAGTAATACGTTCTATAGATCGTTGGAAGTGTCCCCGTGATAAGATTGAAGCACGACGTGCATGAGGATGGAAATGTGTACTTGGGGAAAAATATAAATGTGGGAACTCTTTAAGAATGGCATCCAGAGCGAGGCAATAGAAAGAGAGGTGGAGAGAAAGAACAAGTGAATTGCTTATTATCATGGCAATGTAGTACCAGACTTGGAATTTTCATTAAGAATATGTTTGTTGTGATAAAGAAGTACTAAAGTGTGAAACTTCTTTGTGTCAAATCACGAGTGTTTATTTTATTTTTTTATACTACAAGAATAAATTATGTAAAATTTAATTGCATGTTTGTTGTTTGATGCCAGAATTTAAGCCAGCTTCTCACATACAAGTAATCGGACCCTGACCAATTACCTGCAGCGGAATTTTCCCTTATTATTCAAATTTTATCCGCAGTGTTAAGCTTAGCAGTTTAATAAGCCAGTTATAAGAAATCTCATGTTAGGCTATTTAAATGATTAGTGGTTTGCCAAGCAAGTTGTTAAATGGTAAAACACTACATCAATACTTATTTTGTCAATAATAAGCGTATTCTTGCATGTATACATATATAAAAACTGACTTACTTGTATGGGGTCTAAGAAATCAACTTTAAACCTAGTTTTTGTTGTTGTACTATGAATGTTTATTACGGCAATTTTTATTTTGTTAAAAGTCAAAATACAACGTCGGTTCACTATTTTGATAGCCAATCACGAGGTAGCTTACTTCAGATATTTTTTAATTTGTAGTGTTTCAGGGTATGTCAGAATATACTATAAGTACATTTTTTCCTAAATTTGTTGTTGCTTTTTTCTATTACTTGGCCTTGAAAAACAATATAGTTTACTTATAAGTAGACAAA